AGGATAGGAAAGGAAGCGGAAATAAAATTAACTATCAAAAGACGAAAATTTGTGATGAAAGGGCAAAAATATTCATTATAAACTGATTATATAAGGAACAATTTGAGGAACTCGACAAGAGGTATGACCAAGAATATCGTGACATAAGAACCTAAAGGAATGGGTTGAATGCATCGGCGCAGATGAAACTTAAGGAAGAAGAAATTCTATTTGTACAACGGTACAACTGTTGAATGCATCGGCGCAGATGAAACTTAAGGAAGAAGAAATTCTATTTGTACAACGGTACAACTATGTCGTATTTTCTTTCAAAAATTAACGTTTTTCTTATATGTAATGTTAATTTTTCACTAAACATCTACACACTTGTTTAACTATATTTTAAAATTATTTCTCTACATATTTTCAAATAATAAACAAAAAGAATGATATGACGAATTATTAGAGAAAAACGCAGAAATGGGATAAAAAACTACGATAATAAAGCAATAAGAATTAACAGAAAATTAGACATAAAATTATAAAACTTTATGAAGCTACGAACATTTGGTCATAAATGCCAAAATTCTTCTTTTGTATTTGAACGTTTTTTTTAGCAATGTCAGCAATTCAGAAATCCCCTGAATGTAAAGTAATATGTGTTTGTGATATATGTAGTAAAGTATTGTGGTAGTTTCAATTTATTAAAACAGGAAAATAAAACGAAGGAAGTTAGAAAAAATAACAGTAGGTACCCATTAAAGTATAAGAAAGATTACAGTACTAAACAAAGTAACATTACAAAAAAGAAGAAAAATATAACAACAGCCCAGCCATCGAGCAAAAAGATAAAAGAGGGAATGTAAAGGTAGTGGGGACAAAAATATTGTTAGACAGGAAGTGCTATCTTGAGAGGCCACTTTAAACAAGGATAGACAGTCTCTTTCCTTGTTTAATAAGTCAAATTTAGTTTGGTTATGTTATTGTTTGTCCCAACTGTCACATGAAATTTTATTTATATTAAAGTTTTTTACCAATTGTGTCACTTTTTAGACTATTATCGTTAATATTTAATTAAAAGTTTCTTGTCTGAAAAATATTTTACAGCTATTGTTAACAAGTGTTGAAAAATTTAAATTTAGCGCCTTTGCATTTCCGGATATGCCCGCCATCAGAGGCCACTTTTTTGGTCTCCTTTTCATAACGATTAGATTCCCTCTTTTATCTTTTTGCTCGATGAGCCCAGCACAGTATAAATAACAACCTATACTGTGAACCCAGCAACAACCAGATAAACCCCGGGTTAACTGAAATTATGTGTCGGCTAATTATTCGGCGGCAGCAACACTAGTGTCTAGAGCCTGACCCACTATTCTGTGCAGACTTGCGCAGTTCATTTGTATTAATTTCTGAATGTGTCAATGAGGTTTATCATGGACGTAATGAGGTTTATATTTATAATATCTATTGTCTATTTATTAAATGGTGAATAATTCCTCGAAAAGCTCTGTTTTTTTTAATATTTTTTGACTGTGATGTCATGTAAATACTGATGCCAACTTTATTATTTTAGATGGAACACCAGGTATATTAGTTATTGGATCCAATACAAAATACAAAGAACTTTATCAATATATTGGATTGCAATGCTTTTATTTAACTGTTTTTATTATACAATTTATTAAAGGCACAATCCCTTCTATATTAACTTTTAAATATATAACTAAGATACCTACTTATGTACATTCCATTTCACACCTGGTAAAAATATAGGCAGATTTCATTTATTTGACATATCTATTTTAAAAGAATATAGGTACATACATAGTATATATATGTACCTATGTATATGAGTACTATATACATTATTAAAAACAAGTTGAGATACGAAAGTGAACTCACTCTTCTTTATTGAAATTAGGTATAGAACCTTTTAAAGTCATAAGGAAACACGCAGAGAGTGATCTATTCATTAACCACCCTGTATCCTAAAATAAGTTAATTAAAACTATAACATGCAATATATCAAAGTTCTGGGAATTTTGTGCATAATCCAAAAAATTTATAATATACCGAACCAATGTTTCAATTAAAATAAGAAAGTTGGTATCATAGTAATTGATATATAACATCGGTCAACATCCTGTATATAAAATAACAAATTTTTATTGAAAAAAATGCTCAAAAAGTATTTTTTAAAATAATTTTTAAAACTATTTTAAAAAACCTTTAAATTTGATTTGCTATTATTTTCTTATGCAACCAACAATACACATAAACCTCATTGTCACCAGAAAGTTCCTATACCCGGTTCGCTATTTCCAGTCCGAACTGTCTAGTGATTTTAGTAATTATTTTTTTGCGAAGTTAGTTCCTTTTTGACAGACTCGAAGTGGCTGGAAATTACTATACAACCAATCATACGTGCTCTTAGTCAATATTAATGTAAACAAAAGTAAATAAAATAGAACTTTGCCGACAATCAATATTTATTTATTTACACCGTATAATGTATTGATAACAAATAATAAAATTAATTATTGTACAAAATAAAAAAAGTGGGAATAAATTCTACAAAATTAAAAAGTCAAAGTGAGGTTAAATAAGACACAGCAAGTTCCTTATGTTGTGACTAGGATAGAATCAATGATTAAAGATTAACAGTTCATTGGATAACATTAACATAAACTGTTGTTTTATTATCTTACAAAATAAGTGTACTTCCATATGCTAAAAGCAAATATTAGTAATTTGACTAAACAAATTCGTGGTTCAATAGTAATTTTTGCTCATTAGCATATTTGAGGATGTTAAAATCTTCCACGTATGGTGAATGAATTCAGTGTCCTGGCCGCAGTCTGCAGTCATACAAACCCAAACAAACAACAAAAACCTCCATGTAGGTATAAACAAGTTTATATTAAATTAGAAACAACTAATCTAAAAATATTAACTTTTAAAAAACATTTTATCATATTTATTAAGAAAAACTTACCAACGCATTAGCTGATGGAACAAATGGAAAACTTTGACTATCCATAATAATAAAATTTAAAATATAACTAACTAATTAACTGAATAGAACTAACAAAAGAATTAAACAAAGATAATAAAATAATAAAACTATATTAAATTAAATAAACAACGCGAATAATACAAATATTTACTACAATATTTTAAATTGTAACAATTCAAATATTATATTTTAAATATACAGGGAAAATTTGACGGGTTTAGTATACACTTCCACTATTTAGAATAATTCTTCTTTTTTTCAAAGAAAGAAGTCTGCCATAGTAGTATACTTGAGCTATTAATACTGAGAAGTAGGAATTGTTGTGTTGTAGGTTTCCTACAATGAGTCTGTCAAAATATGCCCTAGCTAAGCGAATAGACAATATACCCGGTTCGCTATTCCCAGTCCGAACTGTCTAGTGATTTTAGTAATTATTTTTTTTCGAAGTTAGTAACTTTTTGACAGACTCGAAGAGGTTGGAAAATACTATACAACCAAGCATACGTGCTCTTAGTCAATATTAATGTAAACAAAAGTAAATAAAATAGAACTTTGCCGACAATCAATATTTATTTATTTACACCGTATAATGTATTGATAACAAATAATAAAATTATTTATTGTACAAAATAAAAAAAGTGGGAATAAATTCTACAAAATTAAGAAGTCAAAGTGAGGTTAAATAAGAATAAGACACAGCAAATTCCTTATGTATTTACAACATTTACATAATTCGATAAATACATTTTAATGATCAACTTACCTCAACAGGGTTTTCATTCGGTAAAAAAAATGGTAGGCATTTTGAATAAACCTTTGTGCAGTTTTATTACCTTGTAATCTAGGAACAGCATCCTTACTAATCTAAAAATATTAACTTAAAAAAAACTTTTTAAAAAACATTTTATCATATTTATTAAGAAAAACTTACCAACGCATTAGCTGATTGAACAAATGGAAAACTTTGACTATCCATAATAATAGAATTTAAAATATAACTAACTAATTAACTGAATAGAACTAACAAAAAAATTAAACAAAGATAATAAAACAATATTAAATTAAATAAACAACGCGAATAATACAAATATTTACTACAATATTTTAAATTGTAACAATTCAAATATTATATTTTAAATATACAGGGAAAATTTGATGGGTTTAGTATACACTACCACTATTCAGAATAATTCTTCTTTTTTTTTCAAAGAAAGAGGTCTGCAATAGTAGTATACTTGAGCTATTTATACTGAGAAGTAGGAATTGTTGTGTTGTAGGTTTCCTACAATGAGTCTGTCAAAATATGCCCTAGCTAAGCGAATAGACAATGGTCGCGTTCACCAGATGCAAACGTTGGCAATCAGTTTCCGCTTTATTCTTCTGAACGGCTTGCTGAGTGTTGCAAACGTCAAACGTGTTTGGAAAGCGATCGCCATTTTTGCAAGCATAAAATATTTACGTTGAATTTTCTAAACTTGTTGACTATTAGCAAAAATATGGCGGGAATGGAAATTATACAAATTATAGAATATATTTATAATGGTTTTGTGTATAAAATAACGGCTACCGAAGACATTCATAAAAGATTGGATGGTTAGGTTAGGCTAGCTATGTTATCATCGATTTTATTTTTTTATTATTAAAAAAATAATTCAAAAACTGAGAATATTTATTTTAGGTTAGGTTCAACCAAGCAAAATGTCAAATCTCAATCTCCACAAAACCGTTCAGCTCGTTGTCAACAAGTTTAAGAATCAAAGCGCAAACAGTTGTGAACATGTTTGCATCTGGTTTGATCTGGTGAACTCAGCCAATATGTTCTCTGTTGTCACGTTCAGATATGAATACAAATGAACTGTCTGTACAGAATAGTGGGTCAGGCTCTAGACACTAGTCTCAGACATTTTTAACATTTAACATAAATAAACTAAACAGAAGAAGCTTTATTTGTGACATTTGTCAGAACTGACAACTGACATTGGCAAAGTGTAAATGTTGGAAGCCGATTTTTAGTTATTTTTATAAATTACATGTATAACATAGACAAGTAAACTTAAAATGCAATATTATTAGTCGTAGTTTTCTGTGGTGTTAGTGATCAAATGTTCCGTATAAAATCAAATTGGGTGATACAGTTCCCGAATGTCATTCTCAAATTTTTCTCAGTCCTCAGCTATGGACATTGATGGTCCTAGTCCTAGCAGTGGACCTGGTACATTAAAAAGATGCTCTAGTGCTCCGATGATTAATGAATCTTCTACAAGTGTAATGACTACCAGCCCTTCCTCTTCCAACAGGTATGTAAATTCTGATGTTACATTCAACACCTTGATTGTTGATTTATCTCCATAGAGAACTGCAGCCTTTTTCGTTTGGTTCGTCGCAAATGAGGACTAGAAGATTCAGTGCTAGTTTTAGTCAAGTGCCCGGATCGCCTGTAAGTAACGAATTTTGTTCATTTATTATCATTATCCACAATCCAACCTTTCCATAAAAAAGTATACATATATCATTCTTTGGGTTAAAGGGTGTATTAGATGGAATGAGTAGAGTTTGATCCATATAATATACATTTTGTTGTATAGGTATTTATTTAATGCTATTTATTCTACACTACCCTCTGGAAATTGTGGTTGTCAAGTGATGATCTGATTCATACCTTGCATATTAATATGGTACTATTCTACTGTAATACTGAAGGAATATTGGGTCAACTTTAAATTGTTCCATATTTACTTATATTATTCAAATAATGATTTAAAGTACATGTTTAAGTAATATCAGAAGTCATTAAATAATGATGAAAACTTATATGAAAAGCTACCATGTTGTAGTTAGTATGTTTATTACATATATTTATTGGGGTTCTTTACTAAATACATAGTAGTTCTCTGACAAGAGATGATCTAATTTTGCAGGTTGTAGATTTTAAAAGGGTCATCTGACATCATATACCTTTCCTCATTGTAAACAGAAAGATCTTTTTTGTACATATGCATATGTACATTGATGATACATCTATGCTTTAGTCCAAAAGATCTAGAATTTTAAGAAATCATATTGTATGTTCCAAAACTATATTTATTACCTAATCAGGTTCCAAAAATACTTATTTCAGACATGATATCTGAGTGAGCAGTCTCCAGTATTCAGTATCTATTCAGAGCAGTCCCTATTTTTCATGAGATCATTATCACATTTTATGTGAATTTCCCCTTAAAAATCCACCTTATACAGCCAGATGAGATAGGATTTCCAGCAAAACTAATTTTGACAGGTTTATCAAATTATGTACTTAATCAGGAAGATTGAAATAATATTTTTTTACTCTCCTGATTTGCTTGGGTTACTAAAATTACATTAAAAACATAGGCAATGATGAATTTTTGATATATTTCTATAAATATAGGTCCATATATAGTAAGGTTACTAAATTAACCAAATGTAAATCTTTTAAATCTAGGATGGAAAGTGCCAATATATGACAAAAGTAATCTTGGCATATAGTTAATAATCTTAGAGCTAAAGTCCCCAAACTACTGATATAGTCTTAGACCCTAGTGAGCTGAATAAATATTACTGCTGGGTAGGTCCAGAACTCGCTGGAAAAATGAATTCTTCTGATCCAATGCATTTTTTAACTGGAGTAAACAATACAAATTCCTTTTATTTTCTTCCCACTAACTCAGCTGAAATAAAAAATATTCTATAAGACAATAAAAATCCTATGGCTGCAGGCTGGGATGATATCCCATCTAAAGTTTTATCCCTTTTTCCTGATAATGTTCTGAGAATTTTAGCACAGGCAGTTAACACATCTTTTTTAACAGGTCACTTTAGTGATTGTTTAAAATGTGCTAAGGTTATTCCTCTGTATAAAGGTGGTGACAACAATTTACTTGCTAATTATCATCCTATCTCTTTGTTACAGTAGATTTAAAAGGTAGAAAAATTGGTAAAAATCTGAATGATGACTTTCTTACAAACAGAATTTACTTTTTTCCTTCCAATTTGCTTTCCAGTCATTAAAAAGTACATATGATGCCATCTTTGAATTCATGTAAAAACTATACTTAGACTTAAATAACGATTATGTTGCTGCCACATATATTTACGGGATGTCCCCATTTACTTAATACACTGGAAAGATATGGTTTTAGAAGCACTGCTCTAAAGTGGTTCAGTTCTTACTTGGAAGACAGATGCTAGTCTGTATCAATCAATGAGTGTTACTCTAGTAATATCTTTATTAATTGTGGAGTACCTCAAGGCACTGTCTTGGGTCCTATCTTTTTCTTGATATATTTTAACTACACAACTAACCTCAACATTAATGGCCAGTTTACTATATTTGCACATGACACCACAATTTTATGGCAAAACAAGCACTCCAAGGTACTGAACAAGATTATTAGTAGTGATATGCTAAAAATTTTAGAGTGGTGCAAAGCTAATCATTTGACATTTAATTTTTCAATAACCAAATTAATTTCTTTTAAGAAAATGATCTAAACAACATTACTCTGGACAATGAAGGCATTTGTTCTAACACTGTAAAGAAATTTTTAGGTCTCTATATTGGCAATAAACTTATATTTGCGCAACACACTGTATGTTTAAGCAAAAAATATCATCGGGTTACTTTGCGGTTAAATCAGTGGCTCACCATTTTGATTTCAAGATTGCAAAAATTGTTTATGTGGCCCTGATTGAATCTAATTTGAGAAACAGTATTGAACCATAGAAAACCAATCTCCCCATTGTCCTTGCTTAAATCGAATCTACTCTGAAGGAGTTAGTTATCAATGCACAAGTAATATCTTTGTCTCAAATTTTCTAATGCGTTAGATATTGTGTTATTATGACGCATTTAAATTTTCAATTTTCGCGCGAACTTTTGCCGTAATAGTGTTAATATTTGTATTTGAATTAAAATACACTTTTTCTTTTAAAAACCCCCATAAAAAGCTATCACATGGTGTTAAGTCGGGACTATTTGGTGGCCATGTAATGGTACCCTTATTGCCGATCTACACATTAAATTGATTATTTAAATGTTCTTGAAAGGCTATGACATGTGGCGGTGATCCATCTTGTTGCCATATCATACTATTTAATTAATTTTGTGTATAATTTTAATTTAATAACTCATCCACTTTTGTAATGACTGTGTCCAAATATGATTCCCCAGTTAATTTATAATCATAAAACAATGGTCCAACTATTTTGTTTTAAAATATTCCGCACCACACATTTATTGATTTTCTTCCTGACTTTTTTATTTGCTTAATTTTTCTTTTTCTGTTATTTTTCTGTTATCATGAATACCTATTTATTCTATTAAAAATGCATGAAGTTGAAAAATTTGATTCATCTGTCCATAAAATGTTATAAAAATAATTAGGTAGGATCATTGTTCAAATTTGTAAGCATGTCTTGACAGAATTGTAAACGCTTACTCTTATGAACATCGGTAAGTTCTTGTACCGGTAATATTTTGTACGGCTTATAGTTGTACTTTTTTAAAATTCGCACGGTTTTTCTCTAATGCATTAGTAGCATTGTTTAGACTAGACATTTTTCAGACTTTAGATTAATCTATTATTTAAGTATTTAATTTTCACCTTCAAAGTAAAGCAAAGTATTAAGATCTTCATCATCATTTCCTACGATAGTACGTTTCTTCCGTTCAAACATTTTTTCATTTATGACATGACGATAATTATACAGGGTGAGTCATGAGGAACTTTAGATACTTCTACCATATGTAGAGTCTCTCAGGGAGCATATCATGTGGCCACTAAAAAATGTCAACTCTTCTTTATTAATTAACAGGCTGATTTGTGTAATTGACCATTTATTTCATTTTACTGTAGTGTTTATACGGCTCATTTGATTTTTTTAATTTTTGCATGATACAGTACACTACTATCAAGCATTCGACTGGTATTAGCTAAACTAAAAAATTCCTGGACTGGCTTTGGAAAAATTAATTTAGGGATTCGTATTAAATATTACACCCTGTATATATATTTTTTAAATGCAATAAGTGATTTTCAAACTACATAAATAGCCAATGAAAACGACATATGCGACAATGTTGTCGCACTTTTATTAAATTTTTAGTGAACGATCAAATCTTACCAAAAATAGAACAACCATAATGAAGTATCAAATTATAAGGTAATTAATTTAAACAAATGTTATAAATTTCAAACATTTTAATTGAAATGATAAACTGAGTCACTGCACAACAAAAAACAGTAACTACTAACAATAACAAAGAACAATTTAAAAAAAAAAACTAAAAATATGTACATAGTTATGATAAACCCATAAATTAGAGCTGGAAAAGATACAATAATGGTAACAAAATAAAAATAATTCAAAATAGATTTTCGAAATGGAACCCTGCAGCCTGTACACATTTTTGTTGCCGAATTGTTAATTGACATATTGAATTACGGATACTCTGGGGATCGTTTCTAATAGTATAACAACAATGTATAATTCTATCAATTAATTGTTGTCGGTTATTAATATTCACTGCCTAAACTAGTTGCTTCAATCGTCCCCAAATATGGTAATCAACGGGATTGAAATCAGGGGATCTTGAAGGCTACGAAATAGGACCTGCACATCCTATCCACCTGTTGCCATAAACATTATTGAGATGTTGTCTCACTGCCAGTAAAAAGTGTGGGGGTGCCCCATCATGCTGAAAATACATCCCTCGGATAGCAACGTTCGCGTTGGCAAGCAAATTCGGCAAAATATTTTGTAGAAAGTTCAAATAGACCTGCCCTGTTAAAGGACCATCAAAAAAGTGAGGACCTACTAATTGGTTATTTATGACACCAATCCACATGTTAACCGAAAAACCTTAACTGAGAACGACATTCTCGAATAGCATGAGGATTTTCTTCTGCCCACACATGTGAATTTTGTGAATGATTTATCACGTCTCTGGTAAATTGGGGTTCATCTGTAAATAGTGTCCTGTATAGCGTTGGTCGATTATTGTTAATCCATCTACAAAATTCCAACCTATCGATCTCATCTCCAGCATGTAGTCGCTGAACCATTTGAATGTGATATGGGTATAGATTATTTTTTTTGTAAGACTTACTTTTGATTGAGTAACATTGAGTTCTCGATTTACTTGTCTAGTGCTTATTGTAGGGTTCATAGTAACGGGGTCCATAATGTCATCTTCCTGCGCTTCATCTACATGTCGCTCTGTTGTTCCACTAGGAAAAGTGCCATTTTCTCGCAAATAATTAAAAACTGACCCAAATGTTGGATGACTGGGAGTTCGACGATTAGGAAATCTCCTGCGATATTCTCTACTAGTAGCCCTACCATTCCCATTACAGAATCCATAAACAAATATTATGTCTGCATATTCTGTGGTCGAAAACTGATGTGGCATTTTGAACGAAAGTAACAAAAACTCTACCAAAACTAACACAATGTACTTAACGTAGATATGACAGAAGAAATATGTATTCTTGTACACATAAATAACATTTGATAATGACAATAATGACAATGGGTATAAAATATCAAGAAACGTCAAACGGTCAACGCCAACCTTCATTTTAAACTTTTTTAGATTTATTTTTATTTAGTACAGTTGATGCAATGTATTATTATTTGACATAAAATTTTAATCATTTACAATCAACAAAAACTAACACATACAAGAGGTTTGACTTTTTAATCAATTTAATTTATTATTTATCGAAAATAATGCCCCAATACGATCTATGAGTAAAAATTTAAAATTGAAAAACCATTGATTCTATCATAGAAATAATACAAAGTGACAGTAAAGATGTTAATTTTCTACGTATTAGATTATGTTGTAGGAACTCATTTTAATTAAAATGTTTGAAATTCATAACATTTGTTTAAATTAATACCTTATAATTTGATACTTCATTATGGTTGTTCTATTTTTGGTAAGATTTGATCGTTCACTAAAAATTTAATAAAAGTGCGACAACATTGTCGCATATGTCGTTTTCATTGGCTATTTATGTAGTTTGAAAATCACTTATTGCATTTTAAAAAATATATATACAGGGTGTAATATTTAATACAAATCCCTAAATTAATTTTTCCAAAGCCAGTCCTGGAATTTTTTAGTTTAGCTAATACCAGTCGAATGCTTGATAGTAGTGTACTGTATCATGCAAAAATTAACAAAATCAAATGAGCCGTATAAACACTACAGTAAAATGAAATAAATGGTCAATTACACAAATCACCCTGTTAATTAATAAAGAAGAGGAGTTGACATTTTTAGTGGCCACATGATATGCTCCCTGAGGGACTCTACATATGGTACAAGTATGTAAAGTTCCTCATGACTCACCCTGTATAAAAATGTATTTACAGAAGGAGTCTGTCGATCTGGATAAATCAGCCTATATTCTCTTCTTCCGCTTGCTTGTTTTTATTATTTTTTACATAAATTGAGAATATATCTACTTTTTCATCCATTTCGGTATGAGGACTGACAGCTTATAATAAATTAATAATTGTTTCATTTTTAAATGTCAGTTGCATAGCTACCTATGGTTACCCTTTTGTAGTACTATATCCCATTATAGAACAAAACTAATGTTACACAATGTTATATATTGGTATACAAAATTTGGTCTGTTGCTAGATTGTTGGTCGGTACATATAAAATAATACAACTTTTATTTGAAACTTTTTTTTTGTATTCCCGAAATTAAGGAAAATAAGTGGGGGTCAAAATATAATGAGAAACCCGGTACTTTACAATAGTAGTTTAGGAGATTTTGACATAAAATCGAGCTTATTTATTTTTTTAGACATATAAATCTCATTTAGGAAGATTATCACATTATTTTAAAAACCTATGTAAATTTTTGTATGGTTGATATTACTCCAATTTTTTTTAAAGGTACTGGGTCCTCGACTGACACCTCGAATCAATCAACTGCGCCAAGAGGAACATGAGGGTATTAGCAATACACGTGAATTGGCACACGAGCGGGAAATCCACCACGCGATGCAAATTTCACAATCCTGGGAAGATCTCAGCCTTATGAACGATTCTAACGATACAGCAAAGAATAACCGTTTAGGATCTCTGCAACTAAATTTACAAGTTGGAGGAGGAAATATTTTTACATGCAATTCACCTTCACCCACGAGAATGGGTTTCCAAAGCCCTACGAGGTATGTTGTTTGGTATTTTTATATATGCTTTTACTTATTGTGGCATTTATGTTATTTAGATATTTACAGTCTTCTAACACTAACACTAAAACACAATTAATTTATATTATTTTATTTATTTCACTCTACAAATATAATATTATTATTACATATCTTCAAAAATGGAGGCAAATCGGATCTGGAGAATTACAGAGGAAATAATTTATTAAACACAACACTAAAATTAACAACCAAAGTGATTATTCATACTTCAGGTTTACTTTCGTCATCCGTTGTTGGATCGATTTGGTCATCATGGTGTAGGGTTGACAAAAGAACAACTTTTTGGTTTTGGTATATAGGACAAAATCGTCATATCTTTGGTAAATCCAAACATAGTTAATTTTGGCGGTCTATTGCTCAATAAAAATTCGGTTGGGATATGCCTTTTATTTTTCCGTAGGTTGCTTCAATTGATGTAAACCAATTGTCCATTGTGACATTCCGGTTGGATTTGGAGATTGGTTTGCAAAGCCGCTCAACCACATCATAGGCTGCAGAACTGATAGAATATGGACCTGGTGGTTGTGTACCGGCATAGATTTCTAATTCCTCTAAACCAGCTGGAAGTCAAAATAGGTAAAGCACTGAATGTAATGCGTGCCTTGTGTGGAACATGGTGGGGTTATGGTGGGGCAGTGACCCAAAATATTAAAACTGATCCATGAAGCACTTGTCTTAAGTAATTTGAACTATGGCGGTCAATTCCTATCTACATGCCCTAAATATATTAATTTTTTTATTTTTTTTTATTTATTTATTAACGATATACCATTTTTACATTGGAACAACATATAATATATAAAATTTTACAAAGTGAGCACAACATTGGAAAATAATTAGTAAAGTTTAACAAAAACTAATAATTAACTTGAATACAAACTAATATTACACAAATAGCAGTCTCTTTATCACATTTTTAAATTGTTCTAAGGACTGGAAAAATAAATCCAGATCACTTTGGTACCTATTATATAGTCTCAACATATAAGTAAGAGGATTGAAGTATTCATAATTAAATTGATGAAATGGCAGATGAAACAATGAAGTATGTCTAGTTCCATGAAGAGTGTTAAGACCTAATCGATTTAAAAGTTCAGGGCAATTTATCAAATTATTAACAATTTTGTAAAGGAATATTAGGCAAAAATAATCTTTTCGCCGATTCATAGAAACCATTTTTAAGTGATCAGCTATCATACTACAACTGTATGGAACAGAAAGGTCATGAAAAGCACTACGGTAATGATAGTGTTTACCAAATTTATGCTGAACACGATCAAGCTTGTCTATAGAGGTTTGATAGTAAGGTCCCCATACAACTATTGCATATTCTAGTCTGGAGCGAATGAGCCTATTAAAAAGAATTGGTAAAACAAAACATGAAAATTGAGAAGTGTTTCTAGTTATAAACCCTAATTGTTTGAATGCACTGTTTACTGTGACCTCTAGATGATTACGAAATGTTAATTTACAATCAAAATAAACACCTAAATCCTTAACACAGTCCTGCCTTGACAGCTGAGTGTTATCAATGCTATAATCGTAATTTAAAATTGTTTGCTTTCTGTGAAAAGTAATAACACAACACTTATCAATGTTCAATTTTAATTCATTTAGTTTGCACGAATCGCTAAATCTGCTGAGATCCTCTTGTAACTGAATTTGATCATACTGACAAGTAATGACTTTATAAATTTTCTTATCATCAGCAAAGTTCAGAAATTTTGAATTCTTAATGACTTTTTCAACGTCGTTAACAAAGAGGACAAAAAGTAGAGGACCACAATCAGAGAGAGAACCACGTACTCCAGAGAGTACATCAACAGATTGAGACTATTCTATTCAACAGTTTGAGATTTATCTTAATGCTCTGGGTGTTACCCACAAGAAAACTATCATACCAATCAAGCCATTTGCCAGCTATACCAATGGCTCCTAATTTACTGATTAAATAACGATGATTTACTTTATCGAATGCCTTTGAGAAGATAGTATAGATGCTGTCCACCTGGTACTTCCTCTCAAAGGCACCCAATATATCATCTTGGTAGACCAACAAGTTTGACACTGTGCTTCTACCCCTTTGAAAGCCATGCTGTTGGGGTATTATTATATTATCCGTTAGTTTTGATAAGTGAGAAGTCACTAGTTTGTCGAGAAGTTTTGGGATTGCTGACTGTATACAAATTCCTCGGTATTTTTCAATATCCTCTCTTTTACCTGACTTAAAAATGGGTACTTCCAGCAAGGAAGGAACTCACCAGTCATAAGAGATAAATTATAAAGATATTTTAGGGGAATAGTAAGAGAGCATAGACAGTGCTTTAATAATACCGGTGGGATTCCATCAGGCCCTGAGGATAATTTGTTTGGAAGTTTTCTTAATTCATCAAACACTGATATAGTGTCAACTTGAATTAGGTTTACAGGGTCAATTTGTCTGACACAGTCTTTAAAATCTGGAATGGGAGCACCTTTATCTTTCTCATATACACCAGAGAAGAATTCAGCAAAAAGGTTAGCAATTTCGATATTGCCCTATGCCCTTCTGTTAACGAGATAGATTTCTTGGGGGTAACTCGAAGATTTACGAAGTCTGCCAATGTATCCCCAAAATTTCCTGGGGTTATTACTAAAATTTTTGTCAAGAGATGAAAAATGTTGTTTCTGAGAAAGTGTATGTTCAACTTTACATTGATCACGCAGATTAGAGAACAATAAGTAGTCCTCGTTTGATTTAGATAATTTAAACCATACATGAGCTTTTTTCTTTCGAATAATAAGATCTTTAAGTTTTATTGAGAACCAAATTGGGAACTTGTAGGAACACTTGACAGCCTCCATAGGCACAAAAATATCTAAACACTGATACATATAGCTGTAAAATATTTGACAAGCCTCATTTATATTATTACAATGTTATAATGCATCCCAATTAACTGAAGATAGATAAAGGTTAACAGAATTAAAATTACAGTTTTTGAAATCATAAACATAGTCTTCATAAAAAAACCGACTCTTTAAAATAACCAATAGGAATAAAAAATTCGTACGGCTTATGCCTGAATGATTGACAAAACAATGGATCGACCGGCGTACACACATTTAGATCAGGTATATGTGAAAAAATGAGATCCAGGAATGTTCCATGTCTGTTTGGTATATTATTGCACTGATGGAGATTTAAAAATGCAAAAGATCCACATACTGTATTCGCATCAGATCCATCAGGAAGTATGGTAAATAAATAAACCCCGTTTTGATCATTAGCCCATTGAGCATCTCTCAGGTTATAATCGCCAGCCAAGATCACAGAACTCTGTGGATGTTGACTTATCAGTTCCTCAAGAAAGGTGCAGTGATATTCATATGCCTCAGCTAATGAACTAGGTGGTATATATATTCCTCCTATTATAAGCTGATCATCATTCAGTTTAACTTCCACAAAAAGTTGTTCTATGTTAAACAAATTTGATTATTATCCGGATTATCACAGGATGCATGAAGTCAACTCCAATTCAGTATAGATGCTGTATCAGAGTCTGGAGAACAGCCATTAAAATACAGAAGAGAATGGCTCCCAATAAAATTTTTGCTAAAAAACCTAAGTGTTAAAAACAACTCTGACATTCAATAAATCGTTGAATTAGAAGCACTTTGTAATATGGAGAATAAATACTGGAGAAATAAGGAAAAACCAATATTGATAGCAACTCTTAGAAAAATCCAACCTTATTTGCAGAACCTATATTCCAGTAAACTTCTTCCTTGCCATGAATATGAACTGGAACTACAACTTCAACCAATAGGAATTCTGAATGAAAACATTACAAAAAATGAATTCAACCTTATGAATTTTGTGAACTTAGTTAAAAAATTCCATTCATACAAAAAATTCTTTACACATGACTCAACGGACACAATGGGAAATGCGGGATTTGGAGTTTTTCCCCAGATATAAACTATTCATTTTCATCTAAACTACCCAATTAGCCATTATCTTTTCTGACTCCAAAAGTGCACTACAATAAATAAAAAAACAGGGTTTTCTAAAGACACAGAACATATATTGTTTTTAACGAAAAGAGGAATTATTCTAGCAAGGAACAATAATATCAAAATTTTACTAGCATGGATCCCAGGACACACTGGTATTAGTGGAAACTACAATGCTGACCAACTTGCCAATATAGTTCGTTCCCTGAATATTCTCATGAATATCAAACTATAGTTTTAAAATTTTATACCCTACTTAAAAAGAGAGATTTGGTCTAACTGGGCAGCTGAATGGTACGAAGGATATGGCACAAGTAATTCATTCTATGTTAAAATTAATGAACGAATCCACACACTATCATGTTTCAATAAATTCGCATATATCAGTAGGAGATATTTAACTACGATCATCCGTATGAGAACGGGTCATTGCTCATCCCCTCTTCATCTATTTAGAATTGGAGTCAAAGATGATCCTTATTGCGAATGTGGCCAAGTAGGAGGTTTAAACCATATTTTATTATAAGGTCGCTTAAATCAAAACCCACATTTCGACTTGTATGCCGAATTAGCTAAAACTAAACTTCCCACTCCCATATTTGCAGAATCCTCACAAATATTAAAGAAAATACAATAAACACCGTATGCAACTTTATTTCTACCTTCAATATTAAATTGTAAACTATGATCTTCCTTCTTTCAGTCCTGGGTGCTTCTACTTTATCCGTCGGTAGCATTTCTGTTGTGTGCAAAGCTTGTAGGCTACCCCCGAACGAGAAAAGTTCATACCTTTGTTGTGTTGTCTTACTAAACTTTTAGCCTGTGAAGAATATATAAAAAAATATTAGCACAAGTATACATGTAGAATAACCCAAAACAAACAAAGGAAGAATATAAGTGTAGGTAGACACTGATCGCTGAAACAAGACAAAAAGTATCTACCCTCGAAGTAAACTGGGTAA